TTAAACGCCCAAATGCACATTCCACCACCATTCGGCACTTGCTCAGCCTGTAGTTGAACAGGTCCTGACTCCTGTCCAGGCTGCCTGTGTACGGCTTCGTGAGCCATGGCATTAAGGGATAGGCTGGGTCCCAAGGATCACGATAGGCATTTCAACATCCCCAACGGTTATTTTCTGGTCCGGGAAGAAAGTCCCTTCCTCCAGCTAGAAAGCTGGAAAGCTAGAAACAGAGCAGACTGCCTGAAGACGCGAGCATCATGTACACTTCCCGGCCAGCCCACGTTGATGTCGGTGAAACGTCCCTTGTGATCCACCAGGGCTTGCAGCAGCATTGAAAAGTACCCCTTGCGGTTTATGTACTCGGTGGCTTGGTGCTCCGGTGCCAAGATAGGGATATGGGTTCCGTCTATCGCCCCACCACAGTTTGGAAATCCCATTGCAGCAAAGCCATCCACTATGGCCTGCACGTTTCCCAGAGTCACTACCCTTGATATCACCAGGTCTCTCATTGCCCTGGCAACTTGGATCACAGCAGCCCCCACAGTAGATTTGCCCACTCCAAATTGATTCCCGACTGACCGGTAGCTGTCTGGCGTTGCAAGCTTCCACAGTGCTATCGCCACTCGCTTCTCCACTGTGAGGGCTGCTCTCATCCTGGTATTCTGGCGCTTCAGGGCAGGGGAAAGCAAGTCACAAAGTTCCATGAAAGTGCCCTTACGCATGCGAAAGTTTCGCAGCCACTGGGAATCGTCCCACACCTGCAGCACGATGCGGTCCCATCAGTCTGTGCTTGTTTCCCGGGCCCAGAATCGGCGTTCCACGGCATCAACCTGCCCCAGGAACACCATGATTTCCACATTGCTGGGGCCTCTGCCTTGTGAGAGGTCTAGGTCCATGTCCATTTCCTCATCACTCTCGTCGCCGCGCTCTAATCGCCACCTCCTCGGCTGGTTCCGGTTTTGCTTTGGCATGTCCTGGCTCTGCATATACTCCAGGACAATGCGCGTGGTGTTCATAGTGCTCATAATTGCTGCGGTGATCTGAGCGGGCTCCATGATCCCAGTGCTAGCTATGGCGCCTGGTATGAAAAAAGGCGCAAAACTAGTATCTGACAGACTAGGGGAGGGAGGGAGGGAGGGAGGGGCGCGTGACGACATGGCATACAGGTACAGGGAATTAAAATCAAGAAAGGTGGCTGTGCATCAGGGAGAAATACAAACAACTGTCACACAGAATGGCCCCCCCCAAAGATTGAACTCAAAAGCCTGGGTTTAGCAGGAGGGAGGGGGGAAGCAAATGAATACAGAATAAATCTATTTTTTACATCTTAAGACGACGGTGCAGCATGACTGATAGCCCTCGGCATTTTCTGGGTGCTTGGCAGCAAATACTGGGCGCTTGGCAGTTAGCCTTCAGGTCTACTGCACAATCTGATACCCACTGCAGTATGACAACGATGGATACCAGTCGTAATATACTATCTACTGCCCAAAAGGCAAGGGGTTGCTGCTGTGTAGCAATGTTGCCCCATACTTCGCATACTATGACTGATAACCATCATCATCAAGGCAAGGGGTTGCTGCTGTGTAGCAATCTAGACCCACGTCTGCCAGCCCCATGTCTGCCAGCACCCAGATCGCCCTCGGCCTCTTCTGGGTGCTTAGCAGAAAACTGGGTGCTTGGCAGAAAATAGTATACTACGACTGATAACCATCATTGTCTGCCCAGGTGCCCATGATCGACAGCCACTGCTGTCCAACGAGGACGGTTACCAGTCGTAATAAACCATCTACTGCCAAAAGGCAAGGGCTGGTGCAATGCAGCCGTACGGCTGCCAGCCCCACGGCTGCTGGCACCCAGATCGCCAATGAAGGCTACCAGTCATGCTGCACCATCTACCGCCAAAAGGCAGTTAGCTGCTGCTGCTGTGTAGCAATGCAGTCCCACGTCTGCCGGCACCTAGATGACATATGGTGACGGTGAGCTGAGCTGAGCAGGCTCCATGCTTGCCGTGGTATGTTGTCTGCATAGGTAACCCAGGTAAAAAGGCGCGAATCTATTGTCTGCCGTTGCTGTGACGGAGGGGGAGGGGCCTGACGACAGGTACCCAGAACCCCCCGCGGCACTGTTTTGCATCATCCGGGCATTGGGGTCTCAACCCAGAATTCCAATGGGCGGCGGAGACTGCGGGAACTGTGGGATAGCTACCCATAGTGCAATGCGCCGGAAGTCGACGCTAGCCTCGGTACTGTGGACGTGGTCCGCCGAACTAATGCACTTAGAGCATTTTATGTGGGGACACACACAATCGGCTGTATACAACCGATTTCTATAAAACCGGCTTCTATAAATTCGACTTAATTTCGTAGTGTAGACATACCCTGAGAATGCCACAATAGAGGTCCTGGATTTCAGTCTCTTTCCTAGGAGCCTAAATTTGGCCTCCAGGACATCTCACCTACCCTTCCTTATGTCATTGGTGCCTACATGTACCACGACCACCGGCTCCTCCCCAGCACTACACATAAATCTATCTAGATGCCTCGAGAAATCAGCAACCTTTGTACCAGGCAGGTAAGTCACCATACGATTCTCCCGGTCATCACAAACCCAGCTATCCTTGTTTCTAATGATCGAATCTCCCATTACTTACAGCTGCCTTTTCTTAATGACTGGAGTTCCTTCCCCTGGCGAGGTAACCTCAGTGCAAGAGGTTACCCCAACACTATCTGGAAGGAGGGTCCCAACTATGGAAAGGTTTCCCTCTGCTCCCATTGACTGCTCTCCTTCCCTGGGCCTTTCATCCTCCTCAATAGCGCAGGGGCTGTCTATCCAGAGGTGAGAGAAATCTACAGTTTCCCGGAAAGCCTCATCAACATACTTCTCTGCCTCCCTTAGTGTCTCCAGTTCCACCACCCTGGCCTCCAAAGCCTCCATGCTGTCTCTGAGGGCCAGGAGCTCCTTGCACCGAATGCACACATACGCCACCTGCCCACAGGGCAGGTAAACATACATGCTACATTGAGTGCAATAAACAGGATAGCCCCCAGTCTGCTGCTGGGCTTCTGTCTGCATTCTCTCTTACAGCTACCTAGGTTAACAATAGGGGTTTTGTTTAAATCAAGATGTTTGTATTATAGCTTAAATGTTTTAAAGAATGGCAAGAGTACCTCGCCCCCTTCCCACTCCCCTTCCAAACTCCCTAACGAAACTCCCTGTTAGCAGCCCTGTTCGCAAAGCTCCCTGGTCGCTTGCTCACTGCTTTACAAAGCACTCCCCTATCACATACACCCCCCCAACCCTAGCCCCTGCTGTGAGCCACTCAGGGTAGGGGGCTGGGAGCACTCCCACGACCCCAGCCCACACCCCCAGACCTGACTCCTGCACCCCACCCACATCCTCACCCCCACCCCGAACACCAAATGGGAGCTCCTGCACCCCCTCCCACATTGCCATCTGCACCCCTCGCACCAAATGGGAGCTGCCCCAGGTAAGCACTCCACACCCCAACCTCCGGCCCCAACCCTGAGCCCCCTCCTGCATCCTAAAACCTGACCAGACCCTGCATCCCAATCTCCAGCCTGCTCCTGCACCCTAACTCCCTCCCAGACTCTGCACCCCCAGCCCTGACTCCTGCACCCTGAACACCCTGCCCTCCCTGACTCCTGCACCCCCTCACACACGCCCAGCCATGACTCCTTAACCCCTCTCACACACACCCCAGTCCCCTGCCCTCCGATTCCTGCAACCCCCCATACCTCTTGCCCCCACACCCCCCCAGGCCCCTGACTCCTGCACCCCCTCACACACCCTCAGCCCTGACTCCTGCACCCCCTCACACACACCAAGCCCCCTCTGACTCTTGACCCCCTCACACACACCCAGCCCTTACTCCTTCACCCCTCTCAAACACACCCCAGTTCCCTGCCCTCCCTGATTCCTGCAAATGCCCATAACCCCTTTCCCCCCAAACACCCCCAGCCCTGACTCCTGCCCCCCCGACTCTTGCCCCCCCACATCCCCACCTGCATTGCTCACATGAAACAGGAGCTGCCCCAGGTAAGCGCTCCACACCCCAACCCCCTGCCCCAGCCTGGAGCCCCCTCCCACACCCTAACTCCTGGCCAGACCCTGCATCCCAACGTTTTTTACATTTTTTTTTTATAAAGGGCTCTTATCCAAAGCGCTTTACAATAGTTAGCTAACGGTACAAACAATATTTGGAAAGATGATTAAGTGGTGCACAGAGACCCTCAGCGATTTTCAAGTGGTCTGTGGAAAAATCGGTTAGACTACAAGAACAATCAAGGTACCTCACTTTATTTTCATTCACTTCCTATTACTTACAGGAAGAGGATGAAGAAAAAAAAGAATGAAAAATCGGGGTGAGGGGGAGATAAGAGAGAATGTTCTTTTTCTTGCCTGGGTCCCAAGGAGGGGCCCCAAAAACGAAGCTGAGCACAGGGCCCCACTAACATTAAATCTGCCACTGAGCTTCCTTCTCTGGATACCCCCAGCCAGGATTCAAGGACGCACCGAGTGTCTGTGTGATACGTAAGCCTGGACCAGCAGCTCTGACTCCAGCAGCCTGCTCGTTACACCCCAAGCACATTCAGGTTTGGGTGGAGAAGGCTCAGGGTTTGAGAGGTCAGGGGTAGGAAGCTTCTGTTGATTATGCCGCACCTAACGCTCAGTTTTACTTGAGCAAACAGGAGATATTTGACACTGCGCGATACTGCTCCTGTGCTCTGTTCCCCAAGTGTTCTGCAGTGGGGGAGGGTCTCTGGTAATATGTGTCACTGGCATATTGGGGTGATGCTGAAACTGGGCAGAGTAGAGGTGGCATTGTGGGGCTGGCGTGAACCTTAACTCTTCATTTCCCCTTCCAAGAATCAAGGGGACAGTAACCCTTACCCAGCGAGGTCACATTCTCATAGTTCTCCTGCATGACGTCCCTGTAGAGAGCTCTCTGAGCGGGGTCCAGCAGAGCCCATTCTTCCCTGGTGAAATACACAGCCACCTCCTCGAAGGTCACCGGCCCCTGAAATAGCAAGAGTCCAACACTCAGTACCTGCTGCTCCACTGACAGCCTCACTATTTGTGGGGGAGAGGAGCCCATCAAAGGGAAGCCCTGGGTGAATTGCAGTCAACAAAGTCCCACCCCCACCCTGCTCAGAGCATCCAGGAAACACCAGGGTGAGGGGACGAAGAGAGAGCCCTTCCGCTTTCCCAGCAGATCCATCACACACCTACTAGCCAAGGACTGATACAGGAGATGGAGCCCCAAGCAGGGTCCAGGGAGAGCTCCCTGGTAGGAAGCCCAACACCCTCCTCATTCTGAAGAGCTGGATATGAAGGGAGGGGAATCTCCCCTAAGCCTGACTGGTGGGTGCCCCCTTCCTATCTCACAGCAGCCACTGGTTAGTTAGATCAGGCTTCAGCACTACGAGTCTGGTCAGTTTTCCTAGCTCCATGTAGGTGGGTTATTTTCTGTTCAACAAATTAGGTCATTTCCACCACCGAACCTCATGGGTCTGTTCCTAGAATCTAAGCCACTTACACTGGTCTACAATTTTTGAGAAGTCGTCTGCTTCAGAGATAAAATGTGCTATTTATTATGTATTTTGATGTGCTGAATTCAAATATGACAATTAAAACAACTGATTGGCTACTGTTTCTAAGATATTTAAGTTTTTACATTTTGTGTCTATCTATATTGTGTAGATAGTAGAGTTTTAATCATAAATTGTAAACCTAGGTCTTTTCATGGTTGCTTTACATGATAATATTTCACCTGTCCTGTTTATGTATCACTTTAAAAATCAGCAAAAGGGTTATATAAATCAAATTTATTATGAAACAAAAGGCAAAAAACTATTATATACATAGTTTAGTCCTATTCAGTGTCTACTCGGCGCTTCTTGGCTTGTCTCTTGTATTCATTAAATGGAGCATCTCTTGTCACTGTCCAGCAATAGTCTGCAAGCATTGATGGGCTCCATTTGCCCTGATAGCGTTTCTCCATTGTTGCAATGTCCTGGTGAAATCGCTCGCCGTGCTCGTCACTCACTGCTCTGCAGTTCGGTGGAAAAAAAATCTAGATGAGAGTGCAAAAAATGTATCTTTAGTGACATGTTGCAACCAAGGCTTTTGTATGCCTTGAGGAGGTTTTCCACCAACAACCTGTAGTTGTCTCCCTTGTTGTTTCCGAGAAAATGTATTGCCACTAACTGGAAGGCTTTCCATGCCGTCTTTTCCTTGCCACGCAGTGCATGGTCAAATTCATCATCTCGAAGAAGTTCACGAATCTGAGGACCAACAAAGACACCTTCCTTTATCTTAGCTTCACTTAACCTTGGAAATTTTCCACGGAGGTACTTGAAAGCTGCTTGTGTTTTGTCAATGGCTTTGACAAAGTTCTTCATCAGACCCAGCTTGATGTGTAAGGATGGTAACAAAATCTTCCTTGATTCAACAAGTGGTGGATGCTGAACACTTTTCCTCCCAGGCTCCAATGACTGTCCGAGTGGCCAATCTTTCTTGATGTAGTGGGAATCTCTTGCACCACTATCCCATTCACAGAGAAAACAGCAGTACTTTGTGTATCCAGTCTGCAGACCAAGCAAGAGAGCAACAACCTTCAAATCACCACAAAGCTACCACTGATGTTGGTCATAGTTTATGCACCTCAAAAGTTGTTTCATGTTGTCATAGGTTTCCTTCATATGGACTGCATGACCAACTGGAATTGATGGCAAAACATTGCCATTATGCAGTAAAACAGCTTTAAGACTCGTCTTCGATGAATCAATGAACAGTCTCCACTCATCTGGATCGTGAACGATGTTGAGGGCTGCCATCACACCATTGATGTTGTTGCAGGCTACAAGATCACCTTCCATGAAGAAGAATGGGACAAGATCCTTTTGACGGTCACGGAACATGGAAACCCTAACATCACCTGCCAGGAGATTCCACTGCTGTAGTCTGGAGCCCAACAGCTCTGCCTTACTCTTGGGTAGTTCCAAATCCCTGACAAGGTCATTCAGTTCACCTTGTGTTATGAGGTGTGGTTCAGAGGAGGAGGATGGGAGAAAATGTGGGTCCGGTGACATTGATGGTTCAGGACCAGAAGTTTCATCCTCTTCCTCATCTGACTCAAGTGAGAATGATTCTGGTGCATCAGGAACCGGCAGTCCTTCTCCGTGGGGTACTGGGCGTATAGCTGATGGAATGTTTGGATAATGCACAGTCCACTTTTTCTTCTTTGACACACCTTTCCCAACTGGAGGCTCCATGCAGAAGTAACAATTGCTGGTATGATCTGTTGGCTCTCTCCAAATCATTGGCACTGCAAAAGGCATAGATTTCCTTTTCCTGTTCAACCACTGGCAAAGATTTGTTGCACACGTCTTGCAGCATATGTGTGGGGCCCACCTCTTGTCCTGATCTCCAATTTTGCAGCCAAAATAAAGGTGATAAGCTTTCTTAACCATAGTGGTTATACTGCGCTTTTGTGATGCAAAAGTCACTTCACCACAAACATAGCAGAAGTTATCTGCACTGTTCACACAAGTACGAGGCATCTCTGCTCACTTTGGCTAAACAGAAATGTGTCCCTTTGCAAAATCAAACACTGACAAATAAGAGAGCACGACACTGTATGATTTCTAGAGCTGATATAGGGCAATTTGTTCAGCAGAGTGATGTAAGCTTCGTTATGATTGCATCATCCATGACTTCTAGGAATAACATGATGCAATTCATATCATGTATGACGCAATACCAGCTTCAGATTGCATCATTCATTGTTTTGCCTAAAAAGCAAGTACTGTCCAAACCCAGTCATAGATTTATTCATAGATCCAGTCAAAGATGTATTTTAGTCATTTCTGGTTTAAATTGAGATCCTTTCCCTTTATAACTCACTTATCCTCCGCCACTCCCAAGTCAAGGGTCGTATATACTGACCCAATAGCATATCTTGAAAACTAGAGCCAATCAACAATTTTAAGCATCATTTTCGTTCTCAGTGACCCAGAATTAGTAAAGTTTGACTACATTTATTTCAGAAGCATTTTGGCTGTAGAGCAGTGTTATTAAACAACTCCCAGCAGGTTTACCACACGCTGTCCTCCTCCCTTTCTCCACCCTGTGCATTTCCTGCCCTGCTCCAACCTCCAGACCAGACTGTACAAACCTTCCCATCTCCGGTGTATTTGCTGTCCCTCTCCCACCAGCAACCCCCTGATAATACCTACCTGAACTGGCTCCTCTGCAGCCATTTCTCTACCCTGTCCAATGAGAGGACGGGATGAACTGGAGCGAAACATGGACGTCATTCTGCAGCCTGGCAGGGTGAGAAGGACAGTTGTGGTTTCAGAACAGGCTTTAATTAATTTCACAGCACGATTCCCCCAGGTCCTTTCCCTGCAGACAGACACCCTAGATTCTACCATGCTGAGAAAGGCTTGATCTCTTTATACAGTGTAGACTTGGCCCCTCCTGCCAGGCTAAGCCCAGAGACATTTTTAACCTCCCTTCTCCCTCTCCCCATCCCATAACAAAGTCTCTGAACACAATGCTAGAAAAAAGCAGAACCAAAGGATTCACTGTGGGGGATTCTCTCAGACACTGACACCACAGCAGCCACACCCCAGCAGGAGGGATATGGAGTCAGGAACTGGATTTTCCTCTGTCTGATCCTCACCTTTTCCACAGGAAAGTGACTCTATCCAGGGTGCAGTAATACATCTGTCTGGGCAGATTAGAGATCTGGAAATCTCTCTCAAAACTCTTCTCTCCCACGGCCCCTTTCAGTCTCTCCTCTCTCTTTTTCCCTGTCCTCTCTCCCTGTCTGTCTGGGAGGAAAGTCCCATTCCTGGGTTGTTTGCTCCCCATGGCTGGATTTGCTCCTGCAATTGCGAATGGGATAAGAAATGAGGGGTGTCTGTTTGTGTAGAGTCATTTTAAGGCCAGACCCCCAGCATTTTCCTTTTGTTTCTTTCAGTTACTTGGAATGTCTGGCTCAGAATTTAGTATTAACAGGGCTCAGGGCTGCCCTATGGGGCTAGTACCTGCCAGAGAAAGTCATCACCTGGGCCGGGCAGAGAAGCAGCTTTAATTAAGGTCACATCCCAGCACAGAACCCCCGCTGGGGGAGCAGCAGCTGCCAAGCCTGGTCTCCCAGATCACAATGGAGGCTGCAGCATCTGACCCAGGAAGCTGAACCCCAATATTCTCAGCAGAGAGGGACAGAGCGTTTGAGCAGCTTCCCTCCTTTAGCTCTCTGGGGAGAGCAGCTAATTCTCACAGGGAGAATTGCTGATCTCATTTGCCCCACTGTCCATCTAGAGTCACTCCTTGTCTTTCCATACACTGACTCTTGATTAACCTTTGTCTCAATGAAACCAGATTTCAGAAAAAATGAGTCCAGAATGCTGTAGAAGAGACCATTGTGTGGCAGTGCTAACCCCCTTCCCACCTCCCTCACCCCCCAGATTGAGAACAAGGACTGGGGGGCACAAATTTTCCAAACAAAACCGAAAGTTCCTGCAGTTTTCAAAAGAAGAGAAAAGCAAAATCTGTGATTTCACACTAACAGTGTTTGGTAAGTGGATAGAAAGTTATCACAGTTATGGGGCATGTGACTGGGGAATGCCGGGCAGTGCTTAGAGCCAGGACTCTGGCACAAGTTGATCAGGGAGAAGGATCATGGTTAGTAGCAGTTGCCAGAGCCCCCAGCCAGGGGCCCCAGACACCCCCCAGCCAGGGTCCCACCAGATATTCCTGGGACGCAGCCCCCAGAGTCCCTGGCCAGGGACCCCAGATACCCCTCAAAGCCCCACCGGCCAAGGAATCCCCACCAGACCATGACTGACAGGTTGGGAATCCCAAAGGGTTCCCCCCACCAAGAGCCC